CCCCAAAACCCCAAAACCCCAAAACCCCAAAACCCCAAAACCCCAAATACTAAGAAAATTTGTTAAATTTCATAAAAATAATTAGGTTTAGAAATTCAAGATGGTCTCGAATAAGTCAAGGAATTGAAAGTCATCAATGGGGAGTGTCATGGTCTGCATTGTGCTACTGGTCATGTCTATTGAGTATTATGCATTTGCTGTGATGACTTGGTATCCAAGAGTTCGAACGAATTTAGCATATTGGGCGATACCAATCTTAGCAGTCTTCCACTTTTTGGCATTTATGTTGTTATGGTCATTCCTCATGACCTTGTTCACTGACTCAGGAGAGGTTCCCATCTATTGGGGCTTCAGGGTCGGAGACCCTGATGATAGGAGAAGAAGGTATTGCCTCATGTGAAATTTATACAAGCCTGAAAGATGCCATCATTGATCTGCCTGAGGAAGATGTGTCCTGAACATGGATCATCACTGTCCTTGGGTAAATAACTGTATTGGTTTTAAAAACAGGAAATACTTTATGCTACTTCTATTTTATGTACAAATCACAACGATATTTTTAATTTTTGCCTGGTCCTTAGACCTGATAAAAAGCTGAAAGGTAATCTACGCGGATATTTCAAGCACAAAGCTTCACTATAACGATCTCAGAAAAGCTATAATAACCATTATCTGATATCTGTTTGCAGGAATGATCTGAGTAATGATGGGCTTCTTCTTTTCTTTCCATAGAAAACTTGTGAAGGAGAATAAGACTACAATTGAGAATATTGAGCATAACTCTGACCCTAAGTACGAGAGTAAGTATAACATTGACTTTTGGCACAATGTGACTCAAGTCATGGGCACGAATAAGTGGATCTGGTGGATTCCTATTATGCCTGCTTCGAATATGCCTCCTGGACAAGGTATTTATTTTGAGAAGAGATATGAAAGTGAGGATTCTGATGATGATGGTGGTGATAATAGGCCTAATAATTATCAGAATCATGAAAGGAATGACTTTAATAGAGGAAGTAATAATATGATCGAGAGATTGACGAAACAGGGAGATGGCTCAAAAGTTCAAGATAGAAACCGAGCAAATGGTGATAATCACATTCAGGCAGATAGAATGACCATTCACGAAGAGAATCAAAACAAATGGGAGAATTTAAACAATATCGTTCAATCAGAAAATGCAAATCAAATATATAAATCCTCAGAGAGTCATGAAAATGCTCAGCAGGAAGAGTCAAAGCAAGGATATGCGAACCCACAGAGGAACATGCCTCCTCCACGAAAAGAAGGAAATGACAAACAATATCTTGAGAGGTCTACTTATGGGAATACATCAAAAGGGAATCCTGGCCTTGGAGGTGGCAGATCAGAGGGAGAGAGGGCTGAGTCAAAATCCTCCACTGGGCAACTCATAAGAAGGACTAAAGGGCAAGGATCTGGGCAAAAAGTTAAACCAAAAGGTAACAAATTCGTGAACCAAGTCAAGAAGGAAAGTGCTCATAGTAAAACAGGAAGGCCAACTAAGAAGAGAACTACTGCAAATTCTCGTGGACGTGTTGGAGCTGGGTTTAGATAGAGGAGATTCATCAAAAATTCAAATTTTCAATTAACGATTATATAAAAGGGGTTTTGGGGTTTTGGGGTTTTGGGGTTTTGGGGTTTTGGGGTTTTGGGG